TATAAATAACAAATAACAACAACTCCCAGCCTGCTGAGCTATTTGGGGTTTTTGTGGGGTTTTTTTTTTTGTGCTTTGTTTTGCTTTTTTGTGCGTTTAGGAAGTCACTTCTCACAGAAACCACTTTGTTTTTTGACTGCTTTCCTCATTGTTCCTGTTTACCCAAAGCTTTGCCCAGGTGAGGCCAAAGGTTTTCCAGGTGGGAAGCAAAGCTGTGCTGGATGTGTCCAGGCCATGCTTTGGGCATCTCTCCTTCCCTTCCCACCCTTCTTTTCCTTTCCCTGCCTATCCCAGAGCCTGAGGCAGCCTTGGTGCATTAATTTCAGACTGAATGTAAATAAGGCTTTGGGATTTCTCCCAGCCAAGCAAACTTTCAAACCAGGATTTTGCTTCCCTCTGCTCCCACCTGCCTCAGGGGATGGGAAGGATTTGTTCTGGTGTCTTCTTCTGCACTGGAAAACTGAAATACCCCTAGAATATCCTTGGAATACCCCTGGAATACCCCTGGAATATCCCTGGAACAGGTTAGGCAGGCACCTGGCTGGGCCAGGAAAGCCAGGAGAGCTCTCAGGCTGGTTTTGTGTGCAGGAAGAGGAGGAAAGATTTGTTCTGATGTCTTCTTCTGCACTGGAAACCTGAAATACCCTTAAAAGATCCCTGGAATATCCCTGGAACAGGTTAGGCAGGCACCTGGCTGGGCCAGGAAAGCCAGGAGAGCTCTCAGGCTGGTTTTGTGTGCATGAAGAGGAGAGCAGATTTGTTCTGGTGTCTTCTTCTGCACTGGAAACCTGAAATACCCCTAAAATACCCCTGGAATATCCCTGGAACAGGTCAGGCAGGCACCTGGAGGGGCCAGGAAAGCCAGGAGAGCTCTCAGGCTGGTTTTGTGTGCAGGAAGAGGAGAGCAGAGAGCGGCCAGCCCGCACAGAGCCGAGCTGCTGGGCTGCTGCTCGTGGCCAGGCCTCCATCCAGCATCTCCTTCTCCCTGCCCAGCCATTCCCAAGGGATTAAAGGCAGGGAGAAGGGTGTCCCCTGCTGTCTCCTGAGTGTCCCCACGCTGGCAGGAGTTGCACCCCTTGAATGTGGTTCCAGATGTGCTGAGAGCCCTTTCCCCAGACACCAAACATCTGCCTGCTGAAGGGATGGGGTTTGTTTCCACACTCCCCAGCCCAGCCTCTCTTTAGCTACTTGCTGGAGTTTTCCTTCCCTTTCTGTCCCTCCCTGGGGCTGGAATCTGGGACGTGCCACCCCGGGGATGTGCCCATCCCAGATTCCTTCCCTGGGAGCCAAAGGCACTCGGGAGGAAGAGGAGCAGAGAGATGAGACCCCAGGAATGCTGAGCAGAGCCACGGGACACCCTGGCAGGGCTTGACCCCAAACCACAGCTCCAGCTTTGCCTCTTCCCACATCCTCTGGGGCTCTGGGCAGCACAGCCAGCTGGGAGAAGGGAATGCACAGGTTTTTGGGAGCTGTGGCTCCTGTTGGTGCTGCTGGAGGAGCTCTGCCCTCATCCCAGCTCCCTCCAGGATGCTGCTCCTGCCTTTTGTTTGCCCAGCTCTTTGGGAATGCTGAGCTCAGCTCATCAGGAATTCCCACTGGGAGCACAAAGTTCTTTTCCTCTGGGGTGGCCCCAGAAGCTCCTGCATCCCCCAAGGCCTCCCTGCATGCCCAGAGGGATGTTGGGACTTTGGAATTTGCAGGAATTTTGCAGTTACAGCCACGAACTTCCAGCTTCTTTGCATCTCTCCTCTCTCCTGTCCTGTTTTCCCACCCCCCTGATGGATTTTGGAGCTCTTTGATGTCTCAGGACTTCCGTGACGGATGCATTTGGACTTTGGGATCGGGGAGAACAATCAGAAAACCGGCTCCATGTGCATGTCCTGGGCTTGGCAAGAGAAGGCAGCTCCACCTCTATCACTTTGCTGATCTCTGGTACCTTGGGGCAGTGCTGTGATTTACTGAAGTTATTGTTTTGGAATGCCTCAGTTCCTCTGTTCCCAAAAAGCAGAGATCTGAGCTGCTCTCCCACATCTCCCTTGTGCTGCTCCCCAGAGCAGAGACTTGGACTCATCCCAGGCTCTGGGCTTTGCCCTGGCCAGGAAGGGCCTGGGGCTGCAGGAGGTTTGGGGAAAAATGAGAGATGTTTCCTTCTCCCTGCCCAACCATTCCCAAGGGATTAAAGACAGGGAGAAGGGTGTCCCCTGCTGTCTCCTGAGTGTCCCCACCCTGGCAGGAGTTGCACCCCTTGGCTTTGGATGCTCCCCAAGAGCTCAGATGTGGTTCCAGATGTGCTGAGAGCCCTTTCCCCAGACACCAAACATCTGCCTGCTGAAGGGATGGGATTTGTTTCCACATTCCCCAATCCAGCCTCTCTTTAGCTCCTTGCTGGAGTTTTCCTTCCCTTTCTGTCCCAAGGGCTGCTCCCCTTAGGGTTTGGCCCAGGCTCGTCATTGGTTTTAAACCTGACAAATTCAGGTCAAGCCTGGTCCTGTTCTGGGAGCAGCAGGGAGAAGGGATCCAGGGGGGGCTCAGCTGGGCAGGGCAGGGATTGGGGAATCTAAAGGAGGAGAGAGAGCTGGGAGCTGTGGGATGAGGCAGTGGTGGAAGGGTCTGTTCACCTCCCCCTGTGCCAGCAGAGCTGCTGCCTCTTCTTGGGGGCATTTTGGGAGCTGCTGCTTGAGCAGTTCCCTGAGCATTCCCTCTGCGTTTTCCAAGGCATTCTCTCTGCACTTCCCAGGCTATTCCCTCTGCACTCCCCAGGGCATTGCCTCTGCACTTCCCAGGGCATTCCCTCTGTATTTCCCAGGGCATTCCCTCTGCACTTCCCAGGGCATTCTCTCTGCACTTCCCAGGGCATTCCCTCTGCATTTCCCTGAGCATTCCCTCTGTATTTCCCAAGGCATTCTCTCTGCATTTCCCAGGACATTCCCTCTGCATTTCCCTTTGCATTCCTTTTGCATTCCCTCTACACTTCCCAGGGCATTCCCTCTGCATTTCCCTTTGCATTCCCTGTGCCCTTCCCTGAGCATTCCCTCTTCATTTTCCTGAGCATTCCCTCTGCATTTCCCTTTGCATTCTCTCTGTACTTCCCTTTGCATTCTCTCTGCATTTCCCAGGGCATTCCCTCTGCATTTCCCTTTGCATTCTCTCTGCACTTCCCTTTGCATTCTCTCTGCACTTCCCTTTGCATTCCCTCTGCACTTCCCAAGGCATTCTCTCTGCACTTCCCAGGGCATTCCCTCTGCACTTCCCAGGGCATTCCCTCTGCATTTCTCTTTGCATTCCCTCTTCATTTTCCTGAGCATTCCCTCTGCATTTCCCTGTGGATCCCAAGGGGCAGGAGCTGTGGGGTCTGTGCTGAGCCCATACCTGTCCATCTTCTCCCAGCCCCTCCCTGGTTCCTTTCCCCCACATTCCAGGGGGTCAGCCCCATCCCCACATTCCCTGCAGCAGCCTGTGGGACACGAGGCAGGGAAGGATCAGCTCACCCGAGCCTCATTCCTGTCTATTTCTGTCCCTCTCCTGGCCAGCTTGTTCCCGGGGCAGTTAATTTAATTGCCACCTTCCTCCCTGCGTGGCTGCGGTTGTGTGTGAGCCCTTGTGCAGGGTAATTACAAGTGTGAAGTGGACACGGCAGGGACGAGCCTGGGCTCCATCCCGGTGGGAGCAGCAGCCTGGATGTCCCTGTGGATCCACCCAGCCAGGGCTCCAGGCTGTCCTTGTCCCCAGGAACGGGCACAGAGGGGACAAGGGGTGCTCTGGAGGCAGCGCAGAGGGGCAGGGACAGGGATCTGCTGAGCTCAGCCCTTCTCCTGGGCTGCACCTGATTTTCCAGCCCTTTTTCCCAATCACTGACCCACAGGGATGAGGGTCTGGGGCTGTTTTGGGCAGCCCTGAGGGGTTTGAAGCCCTGAACACACTCAGGACATCTCACAGCAGAAACCAGAGCTCAGGGACTCTGTGGGAACTTCACCTCTGGCTCCACTCAGAGCTCCTCATCTCTGTCATCCTTGGCATGGGACATCTCTCGCTTTTCCCCAAAATTCCTGCACCTCCAGCCCCTTCCTGGCCAGGACAATCATCCTCATCATCCATTTCCCACGCTCACCCATCAGGATTTCACATCTGCCTTTGGATCAGGGCTGGCTGGGGCCAGTCCAGGCTGGGACATGACAGAGGCTGTGGATGTGATTCACCCCACACCTCTACGCCCATGGGAGATGACAGCCTGCTCTCCTCACCTCTCCATTTTGCTCCGGGCTTTCCAGAGGCATGGGAATGGCTTTTCTCCCATCTGGGGCTCACGTGCTCCTGCTCTGTCGGGATTTGGAGCCGATGCTGTCGTGCAAAATTCAGCTGGAGCTGCTGGGTTCCCCCAAAATCGCATCAGCTGTGAGAGCTGTGAGCAGGGCTCTGTGCTGGGATGAGTTTTCCTTCCCAAAAAAACCCCCCCTGTCTCAGGAGCTCCAGCACCCCAGGCTGGATCTGCACCCTGGGGAGGACAGGGAGGGGAAACTGAGGCACGTGGATGACTTTGGACGGTGTTGTGGAGCTGAGCAGCATCACTCCAGAGCGGCTGCAGCATTCCAGCTCCTGCTGATCCCGGGGTGCAGCTGGAACCCCCCAACTTCCCTCGTTGCGCTCCTTAAATAATATTGATTTTTAATTATCTGTAACTGCCCTCCTTTCCTCCTCGGCTCTGGTGTGTGGGACCCTGGATTTATGGAGGATAACGAAGCATCCCAGGCCTCCTTCCCCCCTCCCCTGCCCTCCCTGGCTGCTTGCAGGGCTCCTGTTCCAGCCAGGGCAATTATGGCTCTCTGCTCTCCCTCCCTCTGCCCAGCCTATAATTTAGTTTTATATAAAGTGCGTTCCAGCCCCTGTTGTGCAAGACGTTGCTATTCCGGGGGATGGGCAGAGGACTGGGGCGGTGGGGAGGGGGCTGGGGTGGTGTGGCACGGCACCGAGCCCCCTCCCCGGGCACCCCACATTCCCAGGGGATGGAGCAGCCCGCTGCCAGCAGCGCTGGAGGTGATCCTGCCTCCTCCTGCCTTTCTGCACCGGGATTTCTCCCGTGGGGAATAACTCGGCTCCTTGCAGGTTTTTCCTGCCCCATCGAGGGGTCCTGCGGGGGCTGCTGCAGAGTGCAGGAGGACGAGGGAAGGTGGCAGCCAGCTCCCGCAGGGAACACAGTGGCCCTTTTCATGGGAAGGGGGATGAAAAATCCAGCTTGAGCCGCTGAGTGTAACCAGATCCCTTGGCTTTTTGGAGAAGGAATGTGAGAGCTTGGGGAGGCTTTTTGGGACGGCGCTGCAGCGGGGCGAGCAGCTGCGGAGTGATGCAGCCCCGGGCTGCCCAAACCCGCGGGCTGTGTGCCACAGGGATGTGGCTCCGGAGTCAGAGCCCCATCCCAAAATTTGGCTGCCCCGGGGGCTCAGCCCTGACCCCGTTTCTCTTGCAGAGGTGCCCGAGCCCTCGCTCCCTGTCCCGAGGCAGATCCCCGCGGTGCCGAGGAAGGACAAAGCCCTGGAAGGTGACAAATCCCCGGTGACAGTGCTGACCAAAGGCCCCCGGGCCGAGCTCGGCGGCGCTCCCGAAGCTGTGACATGTGAGTGTTTTCCATCAAAAAGCAGGGCAGAGGTGGGAACCGGGCTCCTCCTGGCTTTGTTCCTCGCCACATCAAAGCTCAAAGCGAGCCTGAGTCACCTGGAGAGGTGAAAGTGAAGGGTGGCACCCAGGGGTGGCTCCTTGGAGCAGCTGGAGCTGCTTTGGGAAGGGTTGGGGTTCTCTGGGGTGCCGTGGTGGGAAGAGGGATGAGCCTGACTGGGAAAGGAGCATCCCCCAAAACCCCAGGGGGAGAGAGGAGACTCACAAAGAAGGTTCTCATGGACATGGCCCCAGGATGTCTCCATGGCACAGCTGTGCGGTATTTCCATGGGCACAGCCCCCTCTGCACTTCCCAAGGCATTCTCTCTGCACTTCCCAGGGCATTCCCTCTGCACTTCCCAGGGCATTCCCTCTGCATTTCTCTTTGCATTCCCTCTTCATTTTCCTGAGCATTATGTCTCCATGGCACAGCTGTGCGGTATTTCCATGGGCACAGCCCTGGGATGTCTCAGTGGCACAGAATTTCCATGGGGCACAGCCCCGGGATGTCCCTGTGCCACAGCCCCGGGATGTCCCTGTGGGTATTTCCATGGGGCACAGCCCCGGGATGTCCCTGTGCCATAGCCCTGGGATGTCCCTGTGCCATAGCCCCGGGATGTCCCTGTGCCACAGCCCCAGGACGTCCCTGTGCCACAGCCCCAGGATGTTCCGTGGCACATCCCCAGGATGTACCTGTGCCATAGCCCTGGGATGTCCCTGTGCCACAGCCCCAGGATGTCCCTGTGCCATAACCCTGGGATGTCCCTGTGCCATAGCCCTGGGATGTACCTGTGTCATAGCCCCAGGATGTCCCTGTGCCACATCCCCAGGATGTACCTGTGCCATAGCCCTGGGATGTCCCCATGGCACAGGCCCACAATCTCCCCGTGGCATAGTCCCAGGATATTCCCATGTCACAGCCCTGGGTTATTTCCATGGGCACAGACCCGGAATGTCCCCGTGCCGCAGCCATGGGATATTTCCATGGCCACATCCCCAGGATGTCCCTCTGCCACATCCCCAGGATGTCCCCGTGCTGCAGCCATGGGATATTTCCATGGCCACAGCCTCACAATGTCCCTGTGCCACATCCCCAGGATGTCCCCGTGGCACACCCCGCCATGTCCCCGTGCCACAGCCGCTCTCAGGGGCAGAAGCAGCCGTGTCCCACTGGGCCAGCTCTTGCCTTGGCCACTCCAGGGCAAGGGTGAGGCTGGTGCTGAGCCTGGCTGAGCTGAACCTGGATGATCTGAGCCTGGCTGAGCTGAGCCTGGCTGAGCTGAGCCTGGCTGAGCTGAGCCTGGCTGAGCTGAGCCTGGCTGAGCTGAGCCTGGCTGAGCTGAGCCTGGCTGAGCTGAGCCTGGCTGAGCGTCCCTCTGCCACATCCCCAGGATGTCCCTCTGCCACATCCCCAGGATGTCCCCGTGCTGCAGCCATGGGATATTTCCATGGCCACAGCCTCACAATGTCCCTGTGCCACATCCCCAGGATGTCCCCGTGCCACAGCCGCTCTCAGGGGCAGAAGCAGCCGTGTCCCACTGGGCCAGCTCTTGCCTTGGCCACTCCAGGGCAAGGGTGAGGCTGGTGCTGAGCCTGGCTGAGCCGGGTCTGGCTGATCTGAGCCTGGCTGAGCTGAACCTGGATGATCTGAGCCTGGCTGAGCTGAGCCTGGCTGAGCTGAGCCTGGCTGAGCTGGGCTGGCTGATCTGAGCCTGGCTGAGCCGGGCTGGCTGATCTGAGCCTGGCTGAGCTGAACCTGGCTGATCTGAGCCTGGCTGAGCCGGGCTGGTTTTGCTGCAGGGGGTGGCAGGGGCTGGCAGTGCCTCCCAAACTCTGCCCCGGCCGTGTGGCGGGGCAGGGCTGGGGGAGCGGCGCGGGCAGATGTGGGAGCCTCTCCTGGAGCCTCTCCTGGATGCCTCCCAAACTCTGCCCCGGCCGTGTGGCGGGGCAGGGCTGGGGGAGCGGCGCGGGCAGATGTGGGAGCCTCTCCTGGAGCCTCTCCTGGAGCCTCTCCTGGAGCCGTCCGTCCCTCCCTGGCCGCCAGCCCGCATCCCAGCCTCTCCCTCCCATTCCCTTTCTGCTGGCTGCCAGCTTCCCCTTCCAAGGGGTGTAAAGTGGATGGAAGCTTCCCAAGCGGGATGAGGGCGGCTGGGAACGGGGCTGCCCCTGCGGAGGGAGGCAGGGCAGGGCAGGGCAGGGCAGGGCAGGGCAGGGCAGGGCAGGGCAGGGCAGGGCCGGCCGGGCAGGGCAGGGCAGGGCAGGGCAGGGCAGGGCCGGCGAGGCGCGGGCGCTGCGGCGGGGAGAGCGCACGTTTGCTGCGGCTGAGCCCTGGCGCGGCGTCCGCGGGCTGGGCCGGCTGCCCGCAGACATTCTGCACGCCTGAGTCACACCGCAGCCGCTGCACAGCCCCCTCCCCAGCCCAGCCCAGCCCCCCGCGGGCCCCGGCGCTGCGAGGGATTTGGGCACCCTGCTCCTGGTGCTGGTGAAGGGACCTTTGCCTCTCCTCGCTGGGAAATGAGCAGCGTCACCGCTGGTGTCCCTACTCCTCACTGCGCTGCTCCTGGGCGGGGGTCACCATTGGTTTTTGGGGGTTATTCCTATTCTGGCGGGCTCTGGGGAGCACATTTAGGCTCTCCCATGGGATGGTGGCATTCCCGTGCCAGCCTCAGGAGGGGCCGGGCAGAAGGGGCTGGAGGGTGCGGGGTCACGTCCTTGCCCACCAGTGCCAGGACTGGCCCCTCCGAGGCTCAGCTCTGTGCTCAAATCCAGATTTGCAGCTTTTTGGAACATTGGGATTCTGTGTGTTAAGGCAGGAGCAGCAGACCCAGGTGGGCACAACATTCCAAGGCCTGGCAGTGGCTGGGGGAGGGTCCCAGCAGGGGGACCCCGGTGATGCTGCCCTGGGACACCCGAGGGGATCCAGGAGCATCACCTCAGTGGGAAACCCAAAGTGAACATCCAGGAGGTTTTTGGTTATTGAAGAGCTGCAGACGGACAGTTTCCCCCACAATCCTGTTTTCCAGGGCTGGTCCCCCCTCTCCTGCATTACTGGGGGAGCTGAAGGTGCCTCTTTCAGCAGAGCTTTGGCCTCGTGTCTTAAAGGCTGTCCTACAAAAATGGAAGCTATTTTCCCTCACTTTGAGGGGGGGATTCCTGGCTGCCTTTGGCTGCCCCTCGCCGGAGGCAGAGCGTGATTCTGATTTACAAACAGTTTAATCTGAGGAATGCAGCGAGATGGGGAGCGCCAAGTGCATCCTGCTGCAGTCCCGGAGAATCCAGCTGCCGTCCCAGGCTGCCGAGCTGCTGCTGCCTCCCTCCTGACTCAGCCCTGCCCAGCTCCCTGCAGGCTCAGCCCTTCCTGTCACAGCCCTGGGCACCCCGGTCACCTCGGATGTCACCTCGGTGTCACCTCGGTGCACACACGAGGCACGCAGGAGGTGAACACTCCGTGAGGATTTTAGGAAGGGGAGACATTCCCTGTTTTATGCAAGACCTGTTTTCTGTCTCCCACCTCTCCCGCTCTTCCCGCTCAGCTCTGGTTATTTTAAGTTCCTTTCCCAGCGGGTGTCAAAGACCAAGCTCCCACTTTAACCTCCCTGTGCGGCCCAAGCCCAGCTCAGCCTGGTCAGACCAAGCACTGGGACCATCCACTTGTGTCTTTCACCTTCCATCTGTTTTATTTTCACCTCCCACCCACTTTATTTTCACCTTCCATCTGTTTTATTTTCGTGGATGCAGGACAGGGACCGCCTGTGCCCGCTCCACCCCTGTGTCCCCCCGTGCCCTGCACAGAAAGCAGCTCCTGTTCCCTGGTGCCAAGAGGTGCCTTTGCCCTCGAGCCTCTGCCCTGAATCATCCCTTGTTTACTGCCGTGGCAGAGGAAAAGCAAAGTTTGGCCAGAGCACCACCAGACAGGATTTTATTTTATTTTATTTTACTTTACTTTATTTTATTTTATTTTACTTTACTTTATTTTATTTTATTTCTGGCCTTACTGAGGAGGATGACAGCTGCTGGAACCTTGTGCTGGTTCCCAGCCCTCTCCCGGATGAGGATGAGGAGGCAGCGAGGGCACGGCGGGCAGGAGCAGGGGGCTGAGCCCCCCCTGTGGCTGTGGCAGCAGGCTGGCAGGACACAGATCTGCAGCAGGAGGGGCTGGAGGAGGCACAGCCGCAGCTCTGCGTTCTTTTCCTCCTCCTGCAGAGAAGTTCAGCCAGAGGCTGCAGAGACCTCAAGGGAGTGGCCGGTCCCTGCAGGAGCAGGCTGGCTCTGCGCTGGTGCCTCTCGTGGGGACAGCAGCAGCTCTGTGCAGCAGCCTCGGTGCCTCCATCCCTGCTGGCCGTGCAGGGACATCTCCTCCTTCAGGCCCTCTGAGTTTCAGCCCATCCTTCACCACAAATCTTCATTTCTTCGGGTTTTTCCATCCCTTCCTCTCTCTGGAGCCTTTGCCTCCTTCCCTCTGCCACCTTTTCCACATCTCCCGTTCCATCTCCTTCCTCTTGGACCATCCATCCATCAGCTCACCCCGTGTCCACCTGGGGACCAGATTCCCGTTTTCCTCCAGGGTCTGGGCACGTGTTTCTTGTCACCTGATTTTTAAATTTTTTCTAAGCCTTCTGATGTTTATATTCTCATAACAAACTTTCTCACTTTATGTAAATAACTTATTGATTTGCATTCTTTTATGGAGGAGGAGAAATTTGGCAGACTGTTACTTTGTCCAGGGTCATTGGAGAAAGGTGGCACTTTCGCCCTCCAATCCACTGCCACTTCTGGAAATCTATAAATGCTAGAGCCAGAAAATAAAAATCCCTTTTTACCTTGGAAAGAGCAGCGAGCCCGCATCGTGACGTTTCGTGCCAATTTGTGACAATTTCTCCCCGCGGAGAGGGCAGGGTGGGTAACGTGCTGCTCTCCCCTCCAGGCCAGCCCCAGGTGCGACCACCCCCGCAGCCCCCCGGGCCCTGCACGCAGCTGCTGCCCAACGGGGAGGCGGGCAACGGGACGTGCCGGGCCGTGCCCAGCGCGCAGAAACCGCAGCGAAAGCTGCAGCAGCACCACTCCATCAACAGCCAGAGCAGCAGGAAGAGCAAGGGCAGCTCCAAGTCGCCCTCTTCGCACATCCCCATTGAGGCGCAGGAAGGTACTGGCTCGGCCCTGGGGGTCTCTTTCCAGCCGTTCTCCTCGGGCCCCTCATCCCGTGGGATCTCTTGGGGGGAACCCTCAGGCCCCTCATCCATTGGGATCTCTTGGTGACATCCAAGCCCTCGAGCCCCTCATCCATTGGGATCTCTTGGTGGCACCCTGTGAACCCTTGAGCCCTTCATCCCTTGGGATCTTTTGGTGGCATTCTCCAAGCCCTGAGCCCCTCATCCCCTGGGATCTCTTGGGTGGAACCCTCAGGCCCCTCATCCATTGGGATCTCTTGGGTGGTATCCAAGCCCTCGAGCCCCTCATCCCTTGGGATCTCTTGGTGGCACCCTCCAAGCCCTGAGCCCCTCATCCCCTGGGATCTTTTGGTGGCATTCTCCAAGCCCTGAGCCCCTCATCCCCTGGGATCTCTTGGGTGGAACCCTCAGGCCCCTCATCCATTGGGATCTCTTGGTGCATCCAAGCCCTGAGCCCCTCATCCCTTGGGATCTCTTGGTAACACCCTCCAAGTCCTCGAGCCCCTCATCCCTTGGGATCTCTTGCTGGCACCCTCCAAGCCCAGCGGACCCCTGGACCCTCCTGGCAGCCTCTGCAGGGCGGGTGCTGAGCGGGGCCATCTCCTGTCCTCCAAAATTGGTCTATCTTGAGGGCTGGGTGCTGAGGGAGACCCCTGGGGCAGTGGCTGCCTCCCAACCCCTTTTCCCCTCCCTTCCATGAGTTCCCGAGGGAGGGTTTCCACCCTCGTGCTGCTCCCCCAGCACCCCCCGGGCCAGGCGCTGTCTCACCCGCGCGTTCCTCCCCAGACTGCTGCGTCCACTGCATCCTCTCCTGCCTCTTCTGCGAGTTCCTGACCCTCTGCAACATCGTGCTGGACTGTGCCACCTGCGGCTCCTGCACCTCCGAGGACTCCTGCATCTGCTGCTGCTGCTGCAACTCGGGCGAGTGCGCGGACTGCGACCTGCCCTGCGACATGGACTGCGGCATCATCGACGCCTGCTGCGAGTCCGCCGACTGCCTGGAGATCTGCATGGAGTGCTGCGGGCTCTGCTTCTCCTCCTGAGGGGCCCTGCTGGGTGGGGGGGACCTGCACGGGACCCCCCGGGCTGTCCCACAGCGGGTGAGGCTCCAGATGGTCCCGGAGGAGGAGGAGGAGGAGGAGAGCGAATCCCCCGCTGGAATCCTCGTCCTTGGAGCTGTGTCCTGCCCGGGGAAGGGTGACCCCAGAGGGCTGTGGGGGCTCTGGAGCTGTCCTGGCCTGCTCTACCTCTGCCAGCACTGGGGGGACTGTGGGAGCCTCCTGCCACCTGAGCCGAGAGCAGGAGAGCCCGTCACACAGAGCCACCCCAGCCTGGGGGACAGCCATCCTGCAGAGCCACACCAGCATTGGGGACAGCCCATCCTGCAGAGCCACCCCAGCCTTGGGGACAGCCCATCCTGCAGAGCCACCCCAGCCTTGGGGACAGCCATCCTGCAGAGCCACCCCGGCATTGGGGACACATATCCTGCAGAGCCACCCCAGCACTGGGGACAGCTTGTCACACAGGGCCACCCCAGCCTTGGGGACACATGTCCTGCAGAGTCACCCCAGCTCCTGGCGTTGGGGACAGCCCATCTCGCTGCCACCACCCCAGGACAGCTCCGGGGGGTTACAGGGGTGGCACAGAGCAGGGACACCACCCAGGCTGGGTGACCCGCGGGCACTGGGACACGCTGGAGCCTCCAGCCCTCTGCGGGGTCCCGAGCTGGGGGACACGTCCTGCCAGGCCCCCTGCCCCCAGTGCCCAGCCTGGCTGCCAAGTGCAATGCCCACTGCCTGAGCCCTCCTGGAAGAAGCTTTTCCTGCAGCTGTCACCGAGCTCTGTGTGTCCCCCGTGTGTCCCCCGTGTGTCCCAGGCGTGGTGGGGCAGGGTGGCGTGGCTTGGTTAGTGCCAAATGACCCCCAGCAGTTGCTGGCCCCATGCCACCATCCTCAGGACAGAGGTGGGGTAGCAGACACCCCTCTGACGGGCTGGGGAGACGGGAGGGGAAGTGTCATGGTATTTTTTTTTTTTTGTTCCTTTTTACTGTAAATAAAGGTCTTTCTTCATTTCTGACTGGCAGCTGGCCCAGCACGTGCTCTGCAAGGCTCTCCCCAGAGACAGAGGCTCCGTGTCCCCTGTCCCCGTGGCCCATCCTGCTCCCAGCTGGCTTTGGGGACATGGGACAGGTCACTGAAAGCCCCAGGGTGCTCCTGTTTGCTCCTTGTGCTGGGAAAGAAAACGCAAGAGGACTCTCTGTCCTTGGCTCCAGGGAACAGGTTGAGGTCCTGGAGTGTCCTGGCTCCCCTGGGACAAACCCTGGATCACCTGGGACAAACCCTGGGCTGCCCTGGGACAAACCCTGGGCTGCTCTGGGACAAACCCTGGATCCCCTGGGACAAACCTTGGCTCCCCTGGGACAAACCCTGGCTCCCCTGGGACAAACCCTGGGCTGCCCTGGAACAAACCCTGGCTCCCATGGGACAAACCCTGGATCACCTGGGAGAAACCCTGGGCTGCCCTGGGACAAACCCTGGATCACCTGGGACAAACCCTGGCTCCCCTGGGACAAACCCTGGATCACCTGAGACAAACCCTGGATCACCTGGGACAAACCCTGGATCCCCTGGGACAAACCCTGGCTCCTCGTCCCACCATCCCTGGGATGTCCCCTGCTCCAGGCTGCTTCACCAGCCCCAGGGCACAAATTCCCCAAAGGAGAAAATAAATTATGCACATTCCTGTGGAAGGGCTGGGCCTGGTGAGGTTGCTGCCCTTGGAATTCGGGTGGCTTTGGCCCCTCCTGCCCTGGTGGGACCCCCACCCTTGCCAGGCCATGCCACCAGGATCAGGGACCCCGACCCCATTCCGGGGTCTCGCTGCCCTTGGAAAGGCTCAGCTGGCCCGGCTCAGCTGCTGCCTGGGCTGAAGCTGAACGGGGAGGGAAAAGCACTTAAAAAGCGAGGCCAAATGGGTCAGTTGGTCACGGCGACAAGGGCGGCTTTGGGATCTGGGCTCGCTGCCCTCGGGCGCTGCCGCTCAGCCGGGAATCCTATTTTTAGTGGTGAGCAAGAGCCCAGCGTGGTGCAAGTGCACAGAGGAGACGCAGAGGATGCTGCGGGCAGCCTTCCTCCACCCCGCACCCCGCAGGGAGGGCTGGGGGCGCTGCGTTTGGGGGTGACCCCTCGGCGAAGCAGTGAGGGCTGGGGTGGGATGCACATCCCTGCCCACCCTGGCACAAAATCGGGGCCCCGTGTGGCACTGGCAGGGTGGCTCAGAGCTTTTCCACAGGCTCTGCTCCAAACCCTTTGCATCCTTGGCACGGAGGCGCTGGCCTTCCCCAGCCTGGCCTCGCTTCTGCTGCTAATTAGGGAGCTTGGAGCTGGCAGGGCTGCTCCACCAGGCACGGCCGCTTAATGGGGAACAGATTCCCCCAGTGCAGTGCCCCGAGGGTGGGGTGGGGGTCACACACACCCCAAACCCCCCTCCTCACTCCTCCAGACCTTTAATGCTGCTCCCAGAGGAGCAGGTCCTCATCCCGAGCAGGGATGGGATCCTGGAGTGCTTTCCCCCACGGGTGTGATGTTCACGCCGGTGAATGGACTCCAGTGAGAGCTGCCTTCCAGAAAATGCAAATAAAAGAGCAACAATCAGCACAGGGCTGCCCAGATCTCTGCCCTCTGCAAACTCCCCCTTCAGAGAGCTGTTCCCACCTTCCTCAGCAGCTCCTCAGGGCTGGATTTTGGAAGGGGCAAAGACGGATTTGTTTCAGCCCCGACCCCAAACCTGAGCTGGGTTCTCTGCCCTGAGCAGTGCTGGCTGCTCTGCTCAGGCCCCTGGAGCTCCTGGAAATCCCAGGGGTTGTTCTGGGATTTGGGAATGATGGATCAGAGCAGGGATTGGTGACCCAGAGCAAACTCAAGTCCCTGAAAGGGCTTGAAAAGCCGATTTAAAGCCTTCCCCTGGATGCCAGTTGGGGCTGGCCATGCAGGTTGCAAAACACTGGGCAAGGCAAGAGTTAAACCCTCCTGCCTGGGAATTAATTAACAACAGATGTGCTTGGTTTTAACTAATTACTCTCCTGCCAGCACTTGGGTTTTATGGTTTTCTCGGAGTTGGAGCACCGTGCCCACACCGATGCTGATCCTGCTGGGTTTCCCTGGGCACCCTGGGCTTCCCTGCCCGCCTTCCCCGGCCTGGCTGGCCCTGAGCTTGGTGTTTTAAGTGAAACAATTCAGTGAAATTGGCTAAAATCCGTGAAAACTCCAGTCACCTAAAGCAGCATTGCTGGGTGTTTAGGCAGCGCCACGGGAATTTCCTTTTCCTACAATCCCTGCTGGGGATTGATCATTCCTGGGACATTGCAGGTCCTAACGATGGGAGCTCGTTGTTTAATTGCTAATGGATTCCAGGGGCTGCTCAGCCTGTGCTGGGTGCAGCCAGAGCAGAGAAAAAGAGACAAGGAGAGGCCTGGAAATTCTTCAGGCAGGTGAGGAACCCCTGGGATGCAGACCTGCCTCATCCCACGGCCCCGAGCTCCCCACACCCCTCCTGGTTTTTCCACGGATGAGCCCCACGTTTGGCTGCTCCCTCGGCGGGGAGGGCTGTCAGCAGCCTGGGCTATTTCTGTCCTCAATCACGATCAATAAAGCAGGAGAGGATTTTTATTTTCCACTCCAAATTCTTTCTCCATCCTGTTTCCTCCCCGTTCACACGGCGCACTGGGGAGCGCTCCAGCAAGGAGGCCCAGGGAGCCTTCTCCTCCTCCTCCTCCTCCTCCTCTTCACCCTCCTCCTCCTCATTCCAAGGCAACCCCCACCCCTGCTCCGTGCCACCCCAAAATTCCCTGGCAATTCCTGCGATCCGAGGGGCAGGTTCAGCTGGCAGGCGGCAGCGAGGCCTCGCACACGTGCGTGCGCGCACACACCAGAAAAGAAAACACTCCCAGCGCCAAAATAAAATAAAAAATAAAATAAAAATAAAAAAATAAAATAAACCCCGGTTTTTGGAAGGCAGAGCAGCTCATGTAATCCCAGATTCTGGCGGGATGGGGGCCGAGGGGAGACGACTGCAGTCTATTAAACTTCCTTTGAGAACCTGCCAGGCTGACAGCAGCTGGAAGGAATTAAAGTTTCGGGGCCACCGGCTCGGCTGCCGCTCTCAGCGCCCCAGCGCCGCCCCAGCCCCGGCAGCGTCGCTTTTCCCAGCCCGGAGCCGCTCCCGAACCTGCCAGAAACGTGAGCATCCTCTGCATGAGAAACCCAGCGCTTCTCCAGGGCCCTTTCCAGCTTTTATAGAGCCTTCCCGGCTTTTCCAGAGCCTTCCCAGCTTTTCCAGAGCCTTTTCCCACTTTTTGGAAAGGTGTTTCCAGCTTTTATAGAGCCTTCCCGGCTTTTCCAGAGCCTTCCCAGCTTTTCCAGAGCCTTTTCCCACTTTTTGGAAAGGTGTTTCCAGCTTTTATAGAGCCTTCCCGGCTTTTCCAGAGCCTTCCCAGCTTTTCCAGAGCCTTTTCCACCTTTCCAAGAGCCTTTTCCCACTTTTTAGAAAGGTTTTTCCAGCTTTTCCAGAGAATTTCCAGTTCTTCCAGAGCTTTTTCCCATTTTTTGAAAGGTGTTTCCAGCTTTTCCAGAGCCTTTTCCACCTTTCCAAGAGCCTTTTCCCAGTTTTTGAAAGGTGTTTCCAGCTTTTATAGAGCCTTTCCAGCTTTTCCAGAGCCTTTTCCCACTTTTTGGAAAGGTTTTCCCAGCTTTTCCAGCCTTTTCCGCCTTTCCCAGAGTCTTTTCCCAGTTTTTGGAAAGGTGTTTCCAGCTTTTATAGAGCCTTTCCAGCTTTTCCAGAGTGTTTTCCCACTTTTTGGAAAGGTTTTCCCAGCTCTTATAGAGTCTTTCCACCTTTCCCAGAGTGTTTTCCCACTTTTTGGAAAGGTTTTTCCAGCTTTTCCAGGGCCCTTTCCAGTTTTTCCAGAGCCTTGAGCCTTTTCCCATTTTGGTTTTTCCAGCTTTTCCAGGGCCCTTTCCAGTTTTTCCAGAGCCTTTTCCCATTTTTTGGAAAGGGTTTTCTACCTTTTCCAGAGCCTTTCCAGCTTTTCCAGAGCCTTTCCAGCTTTTCCAGAGCCTTTCCAGCTTTTCCAGAGCCTTTCCAGCTTTTCCAGAGCCTTTCCAGCTTTTCCAGAGCCTTTCCAGCTTTTCCAGAGCCTTTCCAGCTTTTCCAGAGCCTTTCCAGCTTTTCCAGAGCCTTTCCAGCTTTTCCAGAGCCTTTCCAGCTTTTCCAGAGCCTTTCCAGCTTTTCCAGAGCCTTTCCAGCTTTTCCAGAGCCTTTCCAGCTTTTCCAGAGCCTTTCCAGCTTTTCCAGAGCCTTTCCAGCTTTTCCAGAGCCTTTCCAGCTTTTCCAGAGCCTTTCCAGCTTTTCCAGAGCCTTTCCAGCTTTTCCAGAGCCTTTCCAGCTTTTCCAGAGCCTTTCCAGCTTTTCCAGAGCCTTTCCAGCTTTTCCAGAGCCTTTCCAGCTTTTCCAGAGCCTTTCCAGCTTTTCCAGAGCCTTTTCCACCTTTCCCAGAGTGTTTTCCGACTTTTTGGAAAGGTGTTTACAGCTTTTATAGAGCCTTTCCAGCTTTTCCAGAGCCTTTCCAGCTTTTCCAGAGTGTTTTCCCACTTTTTTGAAAGGTGTTTCCAGCTTTTCCAGAGCATTTCCAACTCTTCCAGAGCCTTTCCCCATTTTTTGGAAAGGTATCTTTTCCACCTTTCCCAGAGTGTTTTCCCACTTTTTGGAAAGGTTTTTCTACCTTTTCCAGAGCCTTTTCCACCTTTCCCAGACTCTTTTCCCAGTTTTTGGAAAGGTGTTTCCAGCTTTTATAGAGCCTTTCCAGCTTTTCCAGAGTGTTTTCCCACTTTTTGGAAAGGTTTTTCTACCTTTTCCAGAGCCTTTCCAGCTTTTCCAGAGCCTTTTCCCACTTTTTGGAAAGGTTTTCCCAGCTTTTATAGAGTCTTTCCAGCTTTCCCAGGGTGTTTTCCCACTTTTTGGAAAGGTTTTTCTACCTTTTCCAGAGCCTTTCCACCTTTCCCAGAGCCTTTTCCCATTTTTTTGAAAGGTTTTTCCAGATTTTCCAGAGCTTTTCCACCTATTCCAGAGCATTTCCCCAGCTTTTCCAAAGCTTTTCCCACCTTTTCCAGTGGTTTCCTCACCTTTTCCAAAGCCTTTTCCACCTTTTCCAGAGCCTT